GAGTATCATAATTTTATCGTCATGAACAAATACTTAACTATAATTTAATATTTTAATTACACAATATTAAGACATTTATCATAATTTCAAAAATCATATCATTTTTTATTGTATGAAAATAAATTGTCATAAATTAGAATGTGTCGAAATCACATTTAACAGTTTATTTTAAATTAATATACCTATATGAAAATCGAGTTATATGATAATATATTTCTTTTTGCATTACAATCCTTGAATATAATAAAAAATACTCACCTCTAAGTTGATTGAAAAAGTAAATTTTTGAAAAAAATCTCTACTTGTAAGGCAGTCAAATACTCTTCTAAAAGTTATTCTAGACCCGTTTTTTTATTTTTAATAGTTTCTGAAGTAGTAGGAAACCAAATAATATTTATGACATTCTAATTGAGCTGACGGAAGTTGGCAATAATAATAATAAATAATAATGTTATCATAAACAATTTCAATCTATTTACATTGTAGACAGTTATATAGAGCGAATAAATTATTTTAAGTATAGTAATTATACAAATAAGTTGAAAAAATTAATTTCTTTTTTTTTAACCATTTTCATAATGCAATAATATTATATTACTCATATTTGCATTGCATAATCGCACTATTTGACGAATCTGACATAATTATTATTAGTGTCTCGCAACAGAAGTGCATGGTGAAAGTTAGAAAATAAAATAAAACTTTATAGATGTTAATAAAATAATGAAATATAATATCATGTAAGACTAAATAGATATTTATCACGTTTACAGGTGCATTTTAACAGAGATTATTTTAATAATTTAGTTGATTGTACAAACTACAGTCTGTAGATAATGAAAGTTTTCGTACCTAGGTACCTAAGTTTCTCCAGTACATGCTTCAAACAGCGTTTATTAAATATCACGTCTAACGATTGAAAGTGTTATTTTGGATTTACTAGTGCGAAGACTAAAACACTATATTATGCCTATGTAATATAATTCTGAGTACCTATTTGAACTGTTTTACTAAATGTAATGAGAGCAAGGAATATTTTTTACAATGACAAACGATGACATTTTTTTCTTTTTATAGATCGCTTTTTGAATGTGTGTTAAGTTGACTTGTAATTTTGCCCAAACCTTCATTATTATTAAAAAAAAAAACTGAACAAAATTACCTCGGTGGGAGGAGGGGAGGGGAGAACTTAATGCCCATCAAATTGTCGTATAAAAATAATATGCTCCAAAATTGTACATTGCAGTGGATTGAGAATCTTTTTTTTTTCATACGCACAATAATTTTTTGAAAAGATCACTTTTAAATTTTCTTGATGGTACAGACTGAGCACAAAGCAGAATTTATCATCGTAAAAAAATTTCTGCAAGCTCTGTTCAGCTATTTTTACATTATCGATGTGATTTATAAATTTTACTTCTCAATCAATCATTTAATAAAAATTTTCCGCTACGAAATTATTGAATAGAGATATTTTATAAATTTGTTATTATATTAATATAATATAGGTAATTAAAATTATTTTATTTTGTTATAATTTAATTAATTACAATAAATTACTGATTTAAAAAAAAAAAAAAGTTACAGTCAATAATTTTGAGTCAAAGATTTTCCATTTTCTCACAATTTGTTTTAAATACAGAGAAAATAATATGTCATAATATACTTTGATTCATTTAATATAAGTTTTTAGTAAGTCGTATACGATACCTAATCGCGAAATGTTCAATTGCCTAATAGTTATGCTCAGATTGTAAAATGCGTGTTGATTACCACCATTACCTATAGGTGTAATGTGGAATAAAGAAGAACGGTTTGTTAAAAATTTCGTAGGTCTATTATACATTATAAACCAATTATTTCAATTTTCGAAAGTTACACGAAATAAAACGGTGATTTAATCTGCATTATTAAATCGCCGAGAATGTTCTTCTTGCAAGTATTCTTACACGTCATATTTAACATGGTTCATTAGTCACGGCTGCGATTTAACGAAATAAATAGTTTTAGGTGACGTTTTTATTTTCCACGAAAAACACGAAAAGAAATAATTATTAATGCAAGTAGAGGACGCAAATAACAATAATCATCGACGAGTTTTGCGTATACAGGACTGTCAAGTTTATTTAGGTTTGATTGAAAACTACATACATTTCATTAGAAGTACTAAGTAGAAGTGTTACGTAAGTATTGACCGAACGCTCGTAGTTGAATTATGAAAAACTCGTTGAAAATGGAAAGTTATACCGTATAGTCGCGCAGCAGACCCATTAGACAAAATGAATAGGTATCAACTAATTATTATAGTTGACGTTTTTAGTTTCACGTTTGTTTCTCGTATTGGACGGCATAATGTACTCGGAGAATCTCGAGTATCAATAATGGCCGTAAACCATTTTATCGGTTGCATTATTGTAACCGACTGTCGTGACCGATAGTCGATAGATTTCGATCCACGGACAATAATAATAGTTTAAAAAAAAAAAAAAAAAACAGTTTTCATATCCGGTATATTTTGTTAAGACCAGTTTAATTTATCATTACAAGTATACAATTTAATATTATGTCTGCTTGCAACGCAACGTTTTGGGATTACGTCTGTTTAATGTTTATAAATTATCATTGTCGTATACGGTGTACCATAATATATTATAACGTCTACAACCATGTCCACCGTCATCCGGCTAGAAGGTACTAAAACGGGTTTCGTCATATGTAACATTATATTGATGCCGGCGTAGCGTTTCGGTATTTAAACTTTTAACACAATGATTTTTATGATATTTTAATGAACACGGTAATTGTGAAGAAAATAATGTATATGCGAAATCAGTGTCTTCGTAAACTCTGATATACTAGGGTGCAATTTTAAGTGAATATGAAATTATAAATACTAGGTGACAAAAAAATGCCTTTAAAATAGTTTTATAATTTTAACATTATGTTAAAGAATTGATTAGGCAAACGAGGAGAGAAATAAAACGACCTATCTACACTGTATGACGAAAATGTCGTTTTCAGGTACATAGGTAAAATCATACACAATAAAACAATATGTCATAACAAAGTAAAATAAATATCATTTATTTATTATTTTTTTTTATTTTTAATTAAATTTATTCTTTCTTGTAAAATATACGAAAAATATACTTCAAGTTCAAAAAATGAGTTTTATGTTAAATATTGTTTTAAATACATAGGTTAAGAAAAAAAAATAATTGTTTTAGAAATCATTTATTATTTGCTTAATATGCGGATGGAAATCAATAAAATATGTACTTTTTTTTTAAAATTTATGAAATATGCAAAATATACATTAAACTTACAATCGTATAGTTCAAATTTTTAGTTTAGTTGGCTATAAAGTATAAATCGAGAGCACATAAAACAATATGCAACTTCTAAAACTTCCGAGCCCTAGTTATCACGGTATTTTTACGAATAATCTATCAAAACAATATTTATCCAGTCTATTGATCATCAAAGTTATAAAGCGAAATGTTGTGTTTGTGATACAAATATACCCTTATACTGATTTTGTTTCAAAATAGGCCAATTGCACTAAATTTTTTATTATATATACGTGCTTATTTAATTAATATTTTTCTTTATGAGCTAAAAATGTATAACAAATATATTTTACGAATTCCAATCAATTTATTTCATTTTTTTTTCATTTTTAACAGATTTTATTATATACCTATTATATTATATATGTTTCGTTTATTATTGATTTTTAAGGTTCCGTTGTTTTTCTGTACAAGATGATTTCATATATTATGTTTAATTTCGAATCTCTTTTAAAACATTGATAATTTGAAAGATGTTCAAACGTGTGTGATAAAAACTAGGTTCTATTGAATTTGCTGTGAAACGACTCACAATAATTAGTTGTTCATTCTAATCACGTGTATTCAGTTCACATAGTATGCTGAAATGTATGAGTACTGTATTTTTCAATTCAATCTTTTAATGTTTAATCAAAGAATTTTTTTTATTAATGGATTTTGTTGACATCAAATCATTAGCACTTATATTAATCGTTAATCTAATTAGACCACAATAAGGTTAATTCAAAAAACATTTTTAATATCAATCCTATTTCGAAATCCTTATTTTAAAATTTTTGTAACAGTCCTAATTTGTATATCTTCTTTCACAATGCTTAATCCAAATAATAATCTTTTAATTGAACTAGAAGTCTTTGAAATCAAAATGTAAAATCTTCTTATTGAGTTTCTTATTTTTTCACTGTGCATAAATTCTATATTTAAGAGATAAATTTTAAACGCAAACACTACTTAATTCGTACATACACTCTACTGCAGTATTTCTTATTTTGTGTTCCACGGAGATCACTTAAGGGTTCCGCAAAAGTGCTTTTATCAAAAAATGGTTAATGGGAAAAACCGTTAGACGAGTATATATTATATAAAATATTATATTTTAATGCAATGCTAATGTTGCTGTTTATCATCATGTTTTGTGTACCCTCTTTAAAAAAAAAAATAATTTTCATAGGGGTTTTGCATAAATAAAAATATTATGTTCGGTATTCTGTGATATCAAATAGGTAAAAAAACACTGCTCTACGATTATTCAAATTTGGTAGATTACTATATATATATATATGTAGTAATAACGAGTAACGACTCGAAAATCGTCCGTATCGCACCAATTTTATTGTGATTTGTTTTGTTCATCTAAATTAAACGTCAATTTATTACTTTATATTTTTTATACCCGTACCTATATAACGACGAAAAATATGTTTTATTAGTATTAGGTAATATTATTAGATTGCATAATTTCCTCTTTTTCGAAAGTCTCTATCGGAAATCGATTTTGATGTGTGCCACCTAAAATATCGGGGACCAATTAGGATGTCGATTTTTAGGCATGGGAACCGATTCGGAAACGTCTAATAACAATAATAATATATGTAATTATATTATTATGTCGTATTCGCAGTTTTGTCTTTGACGCGGTGAAATCGATCGCCAAAAATACCGACGACAGTTGTTTATTATACAGTATAACAGAAGTAACAGCAGACGTCGCAGTAATAGTGGTAGTAGTAGCAGTAGTAGTAGTAGTAGAAGCAGTACTGTTACACTCTACTTTCACTGGCGCAACACCAAAACGAGTATAACGACGATAGCTTTCGACCGACCGTTCGCGACTCGGTCCAGTGTGATAAACTCGCGCGCGGGCACGTCGCAAATAATTTTTAGTCGGTGATATTCGCGCGGGCGCTGTTTGCACCGTCGTAGTCTTCGGGGAAAAAAAAAAAAATCTCTCATTGTCGGACATAGCCGAGCATCAACGTCCGCCGCACATCCGACCGGTGACCAGAAACAGCGGATTTCACGAGACGAAAACCCGACCGACAGATCTCCAACGCCGGCGACATGAACACGTCCGCTCTCGTCTGGTTCGCCCTTTGCTGTTGCTCGTCGTTGGCCGTTCCGGTGCCCGACCGACGGCTCCGGCAGACCGACCGGGTCGCCACTGACGCAGCTGCGACGACGGACCAACCGTTCGACCCGTCGTTGGACGCCTTGGCGGACGCCAAGTACGACGAAGCCTCCGACGACGACGCCACCACCGACGACAGGGAGAAGCGGCAGTTGTCCTTCGTCCAGGGCAAGCTGTTGAATTTTTTGAAAGTACGGCACACGCATCGCAATAGTATATTATCATTATTATCGTTATATTACACGAAATCGGCGATGGGTTCTTGCGCGGCTTGAGTTTTGATTGGACGCGCGTGAGATTTACCCGATTCCGATGATGTACCTACCGATATTATACACGTGTATATTTATACCGTTATGAGCACACGTCATAATATTATAATTATCGTCACTTAATTATTACGTGTTGCCCACTGCGAACAGCGACTTTCCTCTCTATATAATCCTTTTTTTTCCATCGTATCCTCTAGAAGATTACGGTTTGGCGGGTGGTAGGGAAATTGATATAAACATACATCTGAATCGATTGCAGAACATTTTTATATGCAACCGATATGTATGAACGCGGAGGGGACACGGCTTGAGGCTGTAGAGGGGAGGAGGTCCAAGTCCACTGCAGCATCTGACCATGAACATAATATTTAATAACATAATAATGTACCTAATCTAGCACTCATACAAATTATTATGATTCAGTGGACGTCACGTTTCTGTTTCAATTTCGACATTTCGATCTATTGCCAATATTATGATATTATAACGTAGTAAAATGTAATGATATACATTTAGCAGATTTCTAATAATCATTGTCACGAGTTTTATTCTAATTTGATTACTAGATTTTATCGATATGAAAATAAAAAAATAGGGATTCGTTTCTACTTGAAACATCTAAATAACCGTGACTAAGTGGCTACAATATAAACTTCGAATAATACAAATAAATTCGAAATACCTAATAAATAATAAAATAAAGAGAGGTTATTATAAATGTTGAGTTATAATTCGTTTTCGTTTTTTTATATACACTTATCTACAGACGGTTTATCTTGTAGTAGTTAATTCTTTTGCGGCAGTTTAAACTACCTATTCATATTATACACAAAGAAAATTGGTGATTTTTAGTTTTGTAAGCAACATGCCATCATTGCAGAATCTGACTAAATTAAGTATTTAGTAGATATATTTTATCAAGTTTATAAACTTAGTTTTGGTGACACTTTTCAATGCTTTAGGGGGTGGGCGACACACTATTGCTATAATCTATGGATAGCAATAAACGTATAAAATCAAATATTTATTAATAAACATTTATACTTAAATATTTTATCTTTTACTTCAGTTGAATGTTCATTTAATAAGTTGCATATTGCACTGTATTTATAATATTTTGATAAATTAATGCATTAGACCGATGATTAACTGAATTTGTAACTATATAGTAGAGTTCGGTCTCCTCGATAATTATTTAAGAGATTTCGATTAAAACAAGAAGATAAGTAAATTTGTTTAGTTTCCTTCTAAAGTACAATATGTATTCAATTAAAAATGTGTATAATGTATAAGAATAGATAATAAATATTATGAATGTTTTTAAACGAATTTTTTGAAAACACACGTATCATTATACAATTAATATACACGACTGATATTTCATGCCACAATATTTTAAAATATTTCATTATCACTATATTCTCTCGTGTAGAATCTAAATATCCCACTCCTACCGACTGGAAACTATTGTTCTACATGACATCAACATTTTCTATGATTATTTAATAAATATTGAACATAAAGTAAATTAGGGTTTTCAAAGATTTATCAAACAGTGTTTACCGATTTTACCAATATTAATTATTCTGTAGAATCATTATTATTTCTATTTGGTAGCTAATAGTTAATATATTATTATAAAACGTTTATTCTAAAATACACTAACTTAAAATATTTTTTTACAATAGTTTTGTTTGATAATATTTAAACAGAATTCGTCTAGATAATGAATCAATAATTCATACAATTATTTAACATTTGTGTTGTTAAAGTTTTACGGATCTTTAATAGAAATAAAATAACTTGAATTATGTAACTGAAAGACAGTAAAAAATTTTACTCGACTAAGGTGAATATATATTAAACTAATTTATACACCTCTGTGAATGCGCTTTTTTGCCATATTTCTATTTAATTGTGAACATATTAATCATAATTTATAAGTTTTAGAACACCATAGAAAATAAAAATGTGTACCATAAATTATTTATATTATTATATACGAGTAATAATGCACAATTATAAAATACAAATAATTTATATTATGAATATTGTGGAGACGCCCACAGAGTGGATACTTGCCATAAAAAAATGACTTAAATACCTATTTTGCCACATTTTGTCGAAATATGTTTAGTTATTATAATTTTTAGTGTCATTTCGATGGATAACTTTTTTCATCAAAAGTTTAATTAGTGTATAATTTTTTACCATCACATTTATTCACTATTCTCTACCGAATATACTATAAATAATAACATAAACAATGAAATAAAAAAAAGTTATCATAAGTTTCCGGTACATTGAAATAATATTTAGTTAATTGAGTGCACTGATAAATAATTCGGCGTATGTATAACCACGTGATTTATGTATGGATATTGGATAATATTTTTATTTATTTTTAAGATATTCTATAGGTGTCTACTGCTACCTTTTATGATATTTACATAATATATATCTCCGGTAAATAATTTACAAATTATTACCATAATAAGCAAATAATATGGTTTTGTAATTATGTAATAAATGTTGACAATGGCATAAAAAAATAATAATAACTGTACGCGTGTATGTCTGTAAATCAAGATGTATTAAATTATAATTACTGTGATTGTAATTGCAGAAGTGTCTATATCAACTTTCACGTACAGAAACTGGTAAACACGTTGTGCAATATAATTAATACAATAATATTGCATTTGCAGAAAAATTAAAAATATTAATAACACAAAAAAAAAATAAATAATATTTTATCATGTAACAAAAATATTAAAATGTATGACAAAAGTACTTATTTGTACTAAGAACCTGCAGTGTTATATATTTATAATAACGGATAATGTATGTATAATCGTATTAATTGATATTTAATAATAAATTGGTGAGTGATGAATAATGTCTTTAATTTGTAACAGCATCCAACATTATAATGAAAATTAAAAATAAAGTACGATGATTAGAACTTAAAATATTCAATAATTCAGTCATCGAGAGAAAACATGCTAGGTTTTTTTTATAAAATAATACAACTCTTATGGGTAATGGTTGATAGAAAAATATTAGTTAACAAAATATAATAATTATGCATTATAATCTGTTGGCTGCAAAAACCAGTGTTTACCTTCCAATTACACATAAACCTCACAATTACCCACAATGATGTTACAATTTTTTCGTTATTTTTTTAACAATGTGTGGTAAATATATAAATGAGTAATAAAATTCACATTAGTCTTAAGATGTAGATGTTCTGAATAATTACATTTATTTATTAAAAAACTAAAAAAATAATTATGTATAATAGTTAGTAATCAGTTAATCATGTCCAAGTATGATGCTGTTAGCAATATTAGTACCGAGTTGCACGAGTTATCATTAAACATGTAATGAATCAAGTGGTCCCTTAAACATGATTTGGTGGCCCATGATTGAATTACATTTTATTGAACTATTTAATTCAGTATTTTTTCATACTATCTTGCATAAAACAACTAAAAAGTTATCATTCTATCAATAAACATTATTTCAGTATTTTTTTAAATAACTAATTAAATAATAGTTTACAATAATATTGTTTAAACTATATTTATGTAACATGTTGCTCTAATTATTTTTATGTTGTAATAGAGCGAGTAGGTAAATACAATTAATACCGATACTTTATTTATTGAATAAAATTTCAATCACAACAATATTACCTATGTCCTATAACATTAAGTAAAATGATCGTTACTTTTATTGAATAATATAAAAATATAAAAATATGTCGTTGTTTACAAGACTTGTAATGAATTCAAGTAATATTATATTAATATTAAATCATCATGCACTACTTTTAATAGTAATAAAATGTTAAAACTTGATAGAATAACTCGAAACTGTTGTAGTTAGAATATTATATTATGTAATTATTTAATTTACTGCACTTATAGTACAACTTTTGTATGATTATGATAATTTTGATATAAAATATCAACTGACTGTATAATTATTTTGTTATAGTTAATAGGTATTTTATTAAAAACTAATAATCATAAATTAATAATCAATTTTTGGAATTAAAAGATAATTTTGTTAAGAGTGCTGTGTAAAATAATGTGTTAATGATATTACTATAAATAATATTAAATTTATTACAGTTACTCATCTCTAACAAATTCTTCCCACTATATCTTATCAAAAATATACACTATAATAACTAAAATAAAATTAGTCGATAAAAAATTTAAAAAATAGTGATGCACTAATATAGTAATAATAATAATAATAATAATAAAATAACAAAATTATAATCTACGATAAAATTAAGTAATAAATAATACATACGTACTTGTGTATGGCCTTTAATATTTAATTACTTATTTATCTGAAAATATTAACTTGTTTATAAATTTAATAACATAATATACATAAGTATTTGCCATGTGGTTAGATAAATTATATTTATACATTTATTGAGCCAAACGTTGAGAAATAATTACATCATTTCTATAAGACGTATCACTCTTATATATTTCCCCTGTTCATTAAACTATTATAATATTCCTCATACGTGTAAATCTAAGTAATATTGTCATTGTACTTTGCTTTCATTATAAAATCAAAGACGTATAACTAAACAAATGTATAACAATATAATTAAAAAATATTTTCAAATATACTATGTATTATAAAACTAAATTTTGAGTATTGTGGTTATTAGATTATTATAATTGATGGTAACGTAGACACGTGAGTTGTACTTAATTACCATAAAAACATAGCGAGGCTTATAGTTAAGTGCGATCGATTGATATAATTATATAAAACGTATATAATTAGTAATAACCGCCGATATTGTTTTAAACCGTTTCTGAGAGGCATGTTCCTCAGATTAGGCGGTGGATAAAATGAAGGTCTTACATAAAATTAATGTATGTATTATTAAATTATAATTAGTTTAAAATGGCGATAACATAGTATTTTTTTAAATTTAGTGCACCTCAAAAATATGAATGCCCATTATAATACCTATCTGTTGGTAGAAGCGTATAAAATTATATTAAAAACATGATGAAATATCTAATTTAAAAGATTTGCATTAATTATTGTAATTATTTAGTATTTATTTTTATTTTATAAGAATATAATTTTTTTTCCGAATTGAAAGTGGAGTATAATAAATCCATTTGATGTGACACTGACACATGACAATGTAGGTATGCATTTTTTTGAATTTTTAAACAATTTTAGCTACTAAATTCATTATTTTTGTTTTTAACAATATTTTTATACCTATTATAAGTAATTGTTGTGAATTATAACGTAGATCATATTTCTTGAATTTCAGATTTCAAAGAGTAGGTATTTTTAAAACCATTAAGTATCAAGTAAAAAAAAAAAAAAAAACATATTATACATTATATACCTAATGTTATTATAAATTGAAAACATTATTAGATGGTAAAACTATTAAAAATATGTAGTCATAAAGTGTATATAATTTTGAATAAAAATAAGTAGAATACACATTGAATAATGTCATATTTTATTTTTTTAGGGCATAGATACCTATACTTTGATATTTTTTGGGAATATTAATATCGTATGCTGTGTTTTAGGTATTAAATATCCTATATCTCTAATCATACGCTTTATTATATTATGTTATAGCCGTTACCAGTGGTCGATGTGACTAAAGAAGAAGAGAAATACGGCAACGACGGTGACAAATTTAACAGGATCGGACGAGGTTTAATCGGCGGCGTGGAAACTGTTTCCAATATGCTGACCTCGGCGCTTTCGGTAAATACAACTCGTGACCTTGTACTCTTAAGACTTATTCGTTGTTTGTTTAAAAACATTCAATGTTAGTTTATTTAATTGGACATTTTCTAAAAAAATACAAAATAAAATACAAGATAATATGTAAATATAAAAAAGCCTCATTAGTCATATTGTCGTGGTTTTTCGATTTCACTTAAAATTAATAGGTATGTTTAATTGTAGTAGTGTACCTACACTATGAGACACACGATTTTAATTTTAAAATAAAAAAAATCTTGAAAATTTTCTTGGCACAGTTGTGCCTATTGTTTAAATATTTAAAATCAATGATCGATCGGATATCAAACAAATTCTATTGAATTAATAAACATAAAACATAGTTATAAGACGTGTTGCTCGTATAAATTTAACCTAATATTGTCTTCGATAATAACTATTTTCATAGTTTGTTTCCTTTAAATCTGATTTTTGGGCTTTATACGTTTACAAAAGAATGGTAACTTTTCGTATTGTTTAAACACCTTAAGTTATCAAACATTTTTAAATTATTAGGAGTTCCAAATAATTTTGAGGGTAATACCGCCGAACAAAACAGTGGAATCAAAATGTTGTTTCTAATATGGACAATTTTTAATTAGCCTAAAAAATTGCTTATTAGCTGTAAGTAATAATTTGAATAATTTCCCTAAAAAATAAAATAAATTGATTTAGCGACAAATACTCTTGCTCGGGGAAAAACACGATGGCGGTTACCAATATACTTATAATTTCGATATGGATCAATGATCAATGAATTGGTTTTAAGCGTATACACGAATATTAACATTTAATTATAATATTGTAATAACATACATTATAACAAACCTTAGAGAGATATTTTTAAAATAGCTTTCGATAAGTTAAGATTTCTCATTAATGTTTAGTTTGTGAAATCGGTTTGCATAATATTTTTAGGTAGGTAACCTATCTAAAAAACAAAATACGATCGTAACAAAATCACTTTTTCTCTGTATCTATGAAACAAAAAGGACTACCTACCTACTGTCTATTGTTACTTTTATCAACTAATTTACCCTTCCATTTTGTTTCATATATTTATGGTGCGTGTAATAAGTAAGCTACGGTTTCAATAGCACCAAGTGTGGTGGCTTATGCATTTCATAATTTAATTATTAAATGTGATTTATGCTTGAAAGTAACAGTATATTTTATAAATTGAAGAAATATAATGATATGACTTTCATAAATTAAATTTAGGTCAAGATAAACGTTGAGTTTTGATTAATTTACCTCATGTCAAATTTGATGTTATATCGTTCGTATACGAATCTTATATTATTCAATAGTGTAAATAATTTATAACTCTGTCACACCTGGCATTAGTATGTTAAATGATGACTTATTTATAACGTACATTTTTCTAAAATAAAGCAACTTAACTTATATTCTCATATACCTTACTACATTTATCAATTATCTAAATTAATATTATACATTATAGTATTATACAATATAATATCTTTATAATTTAAATATCGATGCACAATATATTATTTAATGAAGAATTCATTTTTGGCGCAATCATTAAAACTATAGAAACTTTCTTAAGAACAATTGCCATGGCTCAGTACTTGAATAATTTATTTAGGTTTGGGATTTTTTACACACGCACACATATATATATTTAGTTTATATTATATTTCTATTAGAATATTATTTAAATTTATAAAATCACGAATAGAATAAAAAATTCAATAACATATTTCCCCAATATTTATTAAATTTAACTTTTTATACTTTTTCATTTTCAGTTTCCAGTGGACACGGCGAAAAAATTATCCAGGTCAGCTACCGAAATGTTAAACAATTTAGGTGGAAGATTGATAGGACTGCAATGATAACGTAAATCAGTTATAATCAGTGTGCAATAAATATGTATAATTATATTTAGTAGTATATGTTACGACACTTAAAATGTTATTTCGTGTTTATTAAATCATTTTTAACGTGTTCAAAACTAATTATTCACCATTTATTAAAATTAATGATTTTTAAGATAGAGATTAATGTTGTTTAATTATACATAATATATAAAATTCAGTTTTTGTACATATCATTTTTGTTTGCATTTTTAAATTGTTTCATATTAAGAATCATACATTATATATTTTGTAATACACTTGATTTGAAAAAAAAAAAAATAATAATACGCATAAATAAGTTATGTATTTTTTTAATACCTTTGGTTTTTTAATTTTCTTTTAATGATTATATAATATTAATTAATTAAGTAAATAGGTACTTAAGTTAACCTTACTTTTAATAATTTATTTTTGAGTTGGGAGAGGTGTTACATTAAAATTAAGTGATTGAATTTGATGAAAATTTTAAGTATAAGTATTTAATCCATTTATTAAGAGTGTTCAATAAATTTAGAAATGGTCATTCGTCTAACTGGGACTAATAAACGATAATATGATAACTAATGAGATTATTAGATATTTTATACTATAATTATACAGCAGTGATATCTCTTATTTTTCCATTTATGTATTTAAATATACATTCAGTAATTAAGAGTTTTTAAACTAATTAAACAGCTCGTTTATTAAGAATTAAAATATATTTATCATTTATGAAATACTTTCATCAAAAAATCAGTTTTTTTTTTATTTTTTTTTTTTTTTGACTGCGTTGAGTTATAAAAACTTTAAACAATTTTTTTGGAGATATTTAGTTATTCATTTTGTAATGATTATTTTAATTACGTTTTGTGACAAATTATGTGTTTTGATAAATATTAAAATATATATTGCTAACATTTATGAAGAGTTATTATAAAACTAATGCATTTTCTATATTAAAGTCGCTTAATTTATCTATTATATATTAGATAAAACCATAGAGCAGCGTTCGTTTGAGCGAGAGAAATTATTTTGACATAGATAAGCAATCGTGCAATGCCTTTCGGCCTTTATTTGATTTAATTTTATTCATTTTCGTCTGTAAATTACAAAGTTACAATATAACTATACCATTATCTTTATTAAACTAAGGAATTTCATTAATTATATGTAAATTATATGTGATTTTATATTTTGAAACTTTACATGGCTATATTATATTGTATATAAATGAATTCAACAATGAGATTATTTATATTTATTTTTAAAGTGTTATTTTTGATAGAGTTAGCATTTTCTTTCAAACGATATATAATTATTTGTCAAACCACATCACAGTTTGGGTTAATAATCTTAAACGGTCATTTTATTAAAATACAAATACGATCATATTGTATTTAATGATTTTCTTATCAAATTATTTTAATAGGAATAGGTAAATAATTATTTTTGTGTTTATTCATTGTATAGAAAAAAACTAAAAAAGGGATTACTACCCACTAATCCAGTATAGTTAAACTACATTCATTAAATTAAAAAAAAAAAAACCCCAAAGAAATATATCTGCTGTATAGTAGGTAACAAGTATTTATTAGGTATGATTTTGCCATTAATATCACATCTGTTATTATATTTTTAATTATTATAATATTATTCTTTAAATCTTATAACTCAATACCATACAATGCAGTGTATAAGTTTGAATTATAAATAGGTAGCTTAAATGTTTTTTAATTATTTAAAAAAAGTTAATATGTATAGAAATGTATATTAAGCCTGATGGTAAAGTATTTCGAATACCTACGATTAATATGTTTTTAATGTTATTAAAATATCGAAAATTGTTTAAAAAAAAATCATTATTTATTGCTTGAATGATTAATTTTGTTAAAATTTAAGCTTGAATTTAAAATACAAACATTGTGCTAATTTTTAGTATGTTAGAAAAATAACTTATGAAGTTTCTTGTGTTAAATGTTTAATATTTTATTAATAAAATTAAACATTTATGTATTTTTAACTAGGTAATCTTAACAAATTTTGTAAAAATTTGAACTATAAGCTCTAATAAAATGTAACTGGTTTAACTTTAATTTACTATTTTTTTTTTATTTTTGTAAGAAAAACTCATAAGAAACAAAGCTTATAATAATTTGTTTAAATTTTTGACTGAGTATAAATATTTATGAAAAAATACTAAAATAATTTAAATATTTAATAGTATATAGAGTATAATAAATTGAACAGTACCTAGGTAGTAAAAAAATCATTATTATACAATTAAATACATAGAGTAGTTAATTTTCAATTCGATTTTGAAATGCATATTATATAAAATAAATTACAACTTAAGTTTTTTAAGATTTTTTTAGTTGCTTTGAGAAAACTTCGAAGGAACCATGTATTACATATTTTTTAGCGGTTTGAATAAAAAAAAAAATAAAATCAATTTTGTCAAAAATTAGTGTTTTGTAAAAAATTTGGTTTTTCCAGTTATTTTTAAAAATTCTAAGAATTTTTTAACTTTTACCTTTAAAACATTAACTAAATCAAGTTTTTTTTTTATCAGAAACAATTTTTAATGTTAAATATTGTTATTGCTCTTAAAAGTGACAATAGATATGAAAAAAAAAAAACTTACATCAGCAATTTATGTATAATGTACAGAATCTAATGTTAATTTGTAAAATAAGTTAATGACTAGGATAAAAGCGGTGAAAAATGTTATATTTTATAAAAGCATATTAACAACATTAAAAAATTTCAGGAGTTTCGAAACATATTGTTTGTATGGAAATAATAAGTCTGATATTAACATATTAAAAAATATTTAATATTTTCTATAATTTTTTAGCAATTATAGATTAATTATGGAATTATATGTAAGATAATTCATAAAAACATAAATATTATTATACATCTAATTTTTATATTTATATTTTGTATTGAGCTATTTTTTTAGTATAATTATTGATATTAGCCATTGTTTTAAAAATTAAAAGGTTACATTTACTATTAAAATAATATCACGAAAAACTGTTTAAATATTTAAGAAAAGTTGGAAAAGTAGAATAAATCATTATATGTTGAATAAAGACTTAATACGAAATAATATGTTTTATTGCTGCTATTCAATTCTCTAATTGTATTTAAGTATTTTTCGTGTGATAAATAAGATAAATTATCTTCTTTTTTTAGACAATGGTTTATCAAATAAATGATAAAATTCTGTTTTTGTTCCATTTTATTTGAATAAAAAATTAAAACATTTGTCCACTTGACAAATGCACTCTCAAATATCATATTTGAAAACAAGCCAATTACAAATCGCATATTGTATAAAATTTAAAATTATAGTCATAACAAAAATAGGTATCGTCCAATTAAGATACTCCTACTTAGGTACTTAGAGTACTAGACTCATAAATTTTGCACTTTAAGTTAAGATAAGATACGTTTTTATACTCTGACAGTCCAACGCTTTACTATTGTGATAGTATAAATAATGTTAACAAAAACTCTTATTTTTTTAACATCATTAAATATTGACTGGTTGACGTTAAGCTTTTCTGAATGATTTTGATATTTCATGTTTATAAATAAAAATTATACATTAGCCAAAAGGCACAGCTAATGTCGACATTATCCGGCTAATGTCGTCGTTATCCAAATATTAACATTATCCATAACATATATATTAATTTTATTATTACTATAGTATTTCATATTATTATTACCTAGTAATACACTAATAGTGAAGGTTAAATTAATTTTTACAGAAAACGTCGTGTTCATTAAATTATTATAATTAATATAATAATTCACATTATATGTTATTATTAATAATTTTTTGTTCGTGTACAAATTGCGCTTGTATTTAAATTTTGAATAATTAACTATATTTATTTATTTATATTATGTTATGTATTTACTATTTATTCTTGCAAAAAATCGATGTGTTTATATACAATTATAACTAACTAATAAGTTTTCATAAAGTATTTTAAAATGTTTTGAGCGTAATTGATAAACTCATTAAGAAAAGTACCTACTCGAATTTTTTTACTTTCGACGCTTAAAGTACTAATAAATATATTCACTTTCCCATCATAAAATATATCTATGTTGAATATCAAAGTAGTTTTACCGCTCCAAAACGTGAAGACAAATGCATGCAAAAAACGAAAAAAACACATTTTGTAAAATCATTACAATAATTGTTTCGCTCAGTATCTCAACTAATTTAAAAAGAGATGGTTAAAATTCTATAAGCTTAATTTTGAACAGGGAAAAAATCGATACTGTTTCGAGTTAAATTTGAGCTTTGATAAACATTGTGTTAGAAGTCAATCGATATTTGTTGCGAAATTAACTAGCAATTAGCGTAGTAAACTATGTGTAAAAACAATTATTTATTGTGTATACACTATATTATTATAATGAACATAATATTTGAGTGATAATTATTTTACTATGATAACTGTTATAATACAGCTACAATATTATGTTAATAGGATTAATTATTATTATACGAGCGTGTTCATTTGATAAAATGTGTAATAGACTTTAATCTCGACGGTGGTCATCTACGCAGATGCGGTGACTTAAAAAAACGAAATATTATAAGTCTAATGTTGAAAATCATATTATATTATACGAATAATAATAATATATCGTCGTTGGTGATCAAAAATAACAGTAAAATAGGTATAACAACATTGTCTTGATCGCTGTGGAGTCCGACCTTTGGGTCGAACATAATAATGTATTTTGGTTAAACGAATGACCGTTTAGTATAATAATTAATGCTTGTTAAACCAGCGTATCGTACACATACATCATAAACATCATAAATAATAATTAAATAATATTACGCTTTTAATCATGCGTATGTGTGTTTATGATACCGTAGAATAAAATTAGTAATTGTAAAAACCATCAGCGATCATTGAGGCCGGCAGATCGATACGACCGTTGTTGTTGATTTTATCGTTACGCAAAAATGTGCCTCGACCTTTAGAGTTTCGAGTCGTTAATTTTATTTTTCTCCACTTGGAACGAATACTATTAAATAAAACTATTTAGTGAATTAATTAAGTACCTACTGTAAATATTATTGTAGAAAAATGGTTACAAACGTAATGTGGACTAATTAAGATTAATATTTATTATTATTCGTGTACGATCGTTATTATTGTTAAAAAAAAAAAAAAAAAATCAATGATTGTAAACATCGCAATAAAAACTTTATTTTTCTTCATACATTTCCCACACACGACACATCTATCCGCTTAATAGAATACTACATAACATGAAATATATTCACGTAACAATACTTGTTTACGTCTACGTTCGCACACGTAAAAGAGTTCTAAAACCCGGGTGTCGTATGGCGGTTTAACCCAACCTTACCTAACTTAACCAAGTTGAACCTAGGTTTTGGATGTGGGTAAGATGCGACAGCGTGTGTTCGACCGAGAAAAAACAGTGTCGATTACGATTTGTCTGCCTGTTTAATATACAATATTAATAATATTGTATTATAGAAAATCAAAAATTATCGACCTACGAACTGTCACGGGACCAAACACCTTGTACACGATATTATCGCATAACGTGGCCTATACGTGTGTTAGTTAATGATGCGTACATTACAACAATCGACGTATTTTTTACGGTAATGGGCGATTATCGGAGCGTCAAGGAATTATTGCCGTTATCTCGGCCAATAACACGACCGTCTCGATTGGCCGTGTGTTGCATGCGTAGGTACATAATATTATTATACCGACGGGCGTCGACTATAAAACGCTGATAAAAGCCGACCGACAGCGAACTTTGGCGTCGCAGTTACATCCTCGTGTTTATTTATACCGTCTTCATCACAGTGATTATTATTATTATCATTATTGACGTGCCAGATCGATTTCATCTCCGTGAACCGCGACGCACCGTGCAGTTGAGCACACATGAAAATATATCGGTCAAACGTCCCGTTTAATCGTCGCAACGTGTGGTGCGCCCATATACTAAAATAATATTACACTGTAATAATATATAATATTATCGTTGTCGTATAACATTATAGGCGCCGTGACACGAAATGGTCACTGAAAACGAAAACAATGACGGCACCGTAAGTACACGTACACACACGCAAGTAAAATAATTTAATAAATAATAATAATATAAAGTATTGAGTAACGGCGTTACACCTGAGAAATTAAATTGTTGGTCGGTCGCTAAATTCGCACATATTATTTATTAATATGTGCCCCGGTTCCGGGTTGGCCGCCATGTGAACGGATAATATTACGAACTTAATAGCACGTGTACAACGATTTGTTAATCCGCAGAAATCAAATGGGTTTGCATTAAGACGACCGTAGTACGGGTGTACAAGATAATATTAAAACTGTCGCGAAAACGCTGACATAAGTGGCGTAGATTTTTTTTTTTTACTACGTATTGGATATTAGACGCTCGAAACGATGGAAAAATATCAATGTAATTTACAAAACAAGACGATGTTTTACGTTAAAAAGTTCGTTTCGGGCAATTCTCTTTACACGTTTATTTAGCCGGCTCATAGTAACGATTATTTTATTTAAAAAATATTCATATTTTTCTACTGCCGCAAACTTAGTCTACAGTCTGATTGTCATTTTCGATACACATTTGAATTTTCCAATAAATTTACTTTTATAACCATTTTTTCGAATTTTTCTACGCTCTTCGTTTTATATGTTTTAAAATAAAGCTACGAAATACTAAACGTATATCAGCTGAATGTTAAGAATATCAAAGTGATCAGTTAAAAAAAAGAATAATTGCCTATGTAAACTATAATTGTTGATGAATTAAAATTTGTTTTCAATAGTCCTTTCTGATAAATAGATCGCTTAAGAGGATGCTATACAGATATTTGTTGTCTTCGTCTTACAAGTGCGTAACATAGCAAATTAACATCAAACAGTTTAGGTTTAGCTTCGTTAGTTTAAAAATTAGAGTGAATCGATCTATAATTAAACTTTATGGTAAGAATATTATCTATGTTTGTACGTAGGTTTTTTACGATAGTTCAATTTTTAGCAGGTCTTGCGTATGTACGTAAAATAAAGTAAATTAAAAATGCTCATAACTTATTTAAAAAATTAAATTATTGTAAAAACCCTCTTACAAACACAGCTGAAGATGTTCTTACCATCAAGTTTTATTATAGAATTATAGGTCGATTCACTCTAATTTTTTAAAATAATGAAGCTAAACCTGATTTTCTGAGCATTAATTTGCTATGTTACGTACAAATACGGTATTCTAACAGTATGACGTCTTTCACTACAAGATTATAGTGTTAAATAAATTGTTCATTTATTAATCTTTTTTTTTTAAACTTTTATCTATAATATATTATGGTTTGAAATAAGTACAAGTACTTATTTTACGGATTATTTTAAACTAAACTAAGTGTTATTATTATTTTTTTTTTTTTTTTTTTATTGACTTAATTATAAAACCAAATAAACAATTAATAAGCCACGTAAAATATCTATAATTATAAATAATTTATATAGCTAATAGCTTTGTAGTAAAATTAATCTCTTATTTAGTTTCATAAATATATTCATACATTATATGTATTGTAATGATGTTCATTCTTCATTAACTATTATCTCTAAGTTAATTCCTAGTATCAATCTAAAAATAATGAATATAAGATAAGGAACATATTTTGTATAATTAAATGTATTATACCTAATCTATTTTTTTAACAATATTAAGTAGATATTATCAAATTTTCTTAACACCTGATATGCAGCAATTACTCTTTTATAAATTATATTTTAATATTTTTTTATTTATTTAAACTAAATAAAGATTTTCTAAAAATTAGTATACAAACATATCTCATATAATACAATTTTAACAAATTTAGTTACAATTCAGACATGGGTAATAGATATTTAAATGTCAAATTTTTTATAGTACAGAAAAAATATACCTAGAATTAATAAAAACATTAATGATTGAAATGTAAGATTACAAAACAAAATAAATTACATATATTTATACCAATTGTATTTTTTATTTAGATACAATAATAGATAAAATATGTATATTGTATACCCATAATAAATACTGATTGATTTTTGAAGTATAATTACATAATGCAAACAATATACATACTATTTTATGCATAATTTATTAATTATTTTATAACGTTCCTTACACATTCAACTAAATATTTTATTTTATTTTTTATCGTGTAAAATATAGTTTGAAGAAACCGAAGTTGAAGACCCATACTGTCTGGAATCAAGCCCTCTTAAATTAACATTTGAGGATATAACGTCTGCCGCTTACAAGATAAAAGATGGTGTTATCAAAACAGCGTGCACGGTAAGCGTTTTTTTAATATATCTTATTGTTTTTAGTTGATTAAATTTGTTATAACTTAACAGTTTATATTTTTAACTGTTCATTATTTGTATGCAGAGATCGCATTTGTCCAGTGTTGTCAATATGGAACTTTATTTGAAAAAGGACTTTGTGCAGTACACCGGAAGGTATTATTAACAAATCATTTAAATCGATTGCAATCAACAGCTCTACTATAATATATACGTACAATTAATGTTTACGAATCTCTACTATTGGTACCTCTAGTACTTAATTAATGAAAAACATATCCTAAAAAAAACTATAATACTACTAGAATATTGTAAAGATATTACTATAAATTAAAAAAATGCGGTCTTTAAATTTTTGAAGTCTGAAGTTGGACATTTTAAATCGATTCATCTATGTATCTCGATTTTTTGGTGAAAATTCTTCAAAAATCGAAATAACTCGTTTGTTGTTTATGTGTACAACTATAGCGATACTTGGTGTAAAAATATTGATTCCTGTATATCGATGAGGGACGTAACAAACGTCACGAAAAAAATATTTTAATACGTCTTAAATACATTTTTCGTCTTTTAAGTAGGTTTTCATAAAAAAATAAAAATATTGTCATGTATTTCAGTTTTAAGGAACGTGGTGCATGCTATGCGTTGATGATGCTGTCCGACGAGAACAAGCGAAAGGGCGTGATATCTGCTTCTTTGGGTAACCATGCGCAGGCTTTATGTTACCACGGTAAGCGACTCGGTGTACCAGTGACGGTAGTTATGCCTACAGTTGCACCGATAATCAAAATTGAAGCTTGCCGGAATTTCGGGGCAACTGTCATCATTCAGGGCATCAACATGAAAGAGTCCAAGCATATAGCGCTCAAGCTTTCGAAGGAGAAAGGGATCATGTACATAAATGGGTCTGTACAGAGTATATTGTGTCGGTTTAACAATGTCATAATCCCATATTAGAAGAATATGAATTAAATTAAATTAAATTATTAATACATGGGATATTTAAATCAAAATATAACATGATAAATTATATCGAAAGTCATATCGTTAACGCTAAATTACGAAGATTACACGATACGAACATTATATTATTATTCGACTCCTTGTTTTAGTAAATCACTCATCTATAAATAATAAAAAGTACTTACGTATTTTTTTAAATATTTGCTTTATCAATTATTTTCATCTTTTACTCGAGAGAGTTCACCATCCGATTATAATTATAGTCCTAAATTATTTTTATTTTGTAGTATACGGTATACCTCTACAATAAGGTTAAACATAATATGTAACATTATAACATGTATTAAACAGTCTGTATAAAGTATTTAATTGTATTTTACAAACGTCAACCATTATTAAATGTAGGTACGATCACCCTCACATAATGGCCGGTCAAGGTACAGTGGGACTTGAAATATTAGAAGACGTTCCGGACGCCGATGCGATCGTCGTTCCAGTCGGTGGTGGTGGTCTGATAGCTGGAGTGTCGCTAGCCGTCAAAACATTGAAAAAAAACTGTAAAATTATTGTAAGTATGAATTTCATAGCATCTGCAATAACGAATGAAACATGAAATTGAATACTCAAAAAGATTTTACGTACCTTTAAAATTCAAACACTTACTTTTCCTCAATGAAAAATTTTTTCCCGCCTTTTTCTATTTTTTCTATTAACAGATCTTGGAATGAATGTTGCAATATAATTTCATATTATTGTGTCTAAATAAAATCATTCATGAATTAAAATAATTTGGAACTATTTTCGACTTTTTGATGTTCTCAATAACGTTTTTAATATTGTATTTTTTAATAAATTTTAATATTAAAAATTTATTATAATCGCACGGCGTATTGAATAGGCTATTTAGCTACTCTACTGTAACCGTACACCTTACGTCTATTTAACGAGAAAAATATAGAGAAATAAAATGTATGTTCTATAATCTGTAATCATATTATAATGATATTTTTCAGATTTCAGTGTGTAATAAGCGTACATTAGTATGTAACATATGTGAGTTTGAAATGAACATTTTATTGTACGTACAAATACGTGTGGTTAATTTTTAAACCAAAGTATTCTGTACGCGCGCTTATTAAAAGTTAAAAAAGTATATATTCTAAAAGAAATGTACGAATTTGTTGAAACGGATTTAAATTTTTTATTAATTTATATGTTACTCGTATTATTCGAAAAGTATTTATGTTATAATAAATAATTACTAATAATTTAGTTAAAAAAACAATTTAATTAAATTGTTTATAAATATAAAATTAAAACTGATATAATATTAAACTGAAATATAATTTAATGGTACTTTTATGGTTTATAACTATGGTTTGTTGAAACACATTAACTATTTTTTTGATCCGAATCTTTATAAATTTAGTCTGAATTGTAGCACACTTTAATATTCTAAATAATTAAGCAAATAATATAATCACTTTGAAAAATGTTTTTCTTTATTAATAAATTAATCAAAATGTTTGGAATATTTTAATAATCATACCTGCCTACTTACTTATAAATTATGTTTTTAAAGACATTTTCTTCAAAACTTTTTTATATCAATTAACGTATGTTATGTGTCAATGGAAAAACTTTTTTTTAAATTAAAATTACCTTTTTTTACTTTAAAAAAAATAAAAAAAATAATAACATTGATATAGCATAATACAATCATACAATTTTCTAAATTATAAAATGCTAATATTATAATAATAACTATAATTATTTTTAAATTATTATTTTTCCTAATATCTTTGTTCCTGTTATCATTGTTATCATGGGCTATAATAAATTTACTATCCTTAGAAAAAAACAGTAAAATAAATTAGAAAGTGTATCGCGTGTATGTGAATTGGATTACTTGAATTTTATCAGTATATAATTTCATATTAAACTTTTTTCAGGGTGTCGAATCTGACCGCGTGCCGAGTTTCTCGAAAGCCATGGAAAATGGTAGTCCAATTACCGTCGAAGGCAGGAGCACTTTGGCTGATGGCTTGGCAGTTCCCAGAGTTGGGTGTAACGCGTATGCTACTGCCGTGGGTTTGATTGATAAAATGGTAAGTACGCCTAGTCCCAATCCGTTGATTCACAAAACTCGGGATTTTAAATACACGACTTACTACAGATAACTACTATTAACTTGATAAATACATCCGAACATTTTTTGCTATTACGATTTTTAGGTGTTTTCGCAAACCATCATGTCGCATAGAATTGAATATATTTGATTAGTAGTAGGAAAATCGTAAATAATTCTAAACAATTTTGTTTAGTGCTTTAAAAAAAATAACGATAATTTTCAAAATAAAAAATAATCCCAGTTTTTATGTTTAAAAAATCAATTAAAAACATTCTAAGATAAATACCAGCGAGAGAAAACAAAAAAATATATTGCCCATATTTAAAGTAAATATTTTAAGGAACACTAGAATTAATTAATTTTTGTAATAAATAGTGATTTTTAGTTATTTATGATTTTCCAAATAAAATGTAAATTATAAGGCTTCGGAAAATATAATATATTGTCAATACATTCGCACTCACAGAACCATTTACGATAATCTCCTTCCTATACTACCAGTTAATCTGAACACAACGAAACAACGGATTATTGTGTACTTAATTATAAAATATTATGTATAGATATTACTAAACAAACTATATTTTTCTAGATTGTGGTAACAGAAGAATGGATATCGATGGCAATCCTGCGACTCGTCGAATCAGAGAAGTGTGTTGTAGAAGGCGCGGGAGCCATTGGATTAGCTGCCGCATTGTCGGGTACTTTGGACGAGTTCATAGGAAAAAAGTGAGTGGGTAGTGTTGAACCATTTTTTTAATATGATCAAATATTACACTTTCCAGATCTCTGATTTAACTACCAATAGTTATTTTTTTAAGAATTGCAATATATATATAATTTTTTTTTTTTTAAATCTGTTGAATAATTATTTTAGAGTGTTTACAGACTGAAAAAACACATATATCTGATCACATGATACTTAATAAAAACCCAAAAATAATAGTTATTAAAATAAAAAAAATCTTTTTTTCGTATAATTAATGTACCTATATCAAAAAAAATAAAATTAATTAATTAATTAATTAATCAATTTAATCAATGATATACAAATTGTCAAGGCATATCATTATTTTTCTCGGTTGAGAAAGTATGTATATAATATTAATAATTTAAAATAAAATGAAAAATATTTATTCTAAATTATTAACTTTTATTTTTTTCCCCTACCCCATTTATTTAGTTTTCATTTACGAGTAGTTCTTGTTGAAAATTTATTGTAGTTCGTTACGGTGACTGTCAGTCATCAGTAAAATGTTGAATGTGGTATTTCAGCGGTTTTCAACTTTTTTTTTCGTTTTGTACCCCAAAGTTTAATATCTTGTTAGATTGTAGTGATTGTACCCATTATTATAATTTTTTTAACTTTTTCACACAACTAATTTTAAAAAATTTAAATGAAAAATAACAAAACATTCTGTGTTACATTCTACACTCCATATCTATTAAATAAGTTGACGGTTAACTTTTAATTTGTGACACAAATGTTCATTTTTAATAACACATATTAAATATTTTCGAAACGAATCGTTTTAAATAAACAAATTCAAAATTTTCTGCCATTAGTTAATTTTTTTTTTACGTACTCCAAATTGGAAATTGCTGAGGTATTTGGTGTAATATACGAGTATACTTCATAATTATTGGCTTGAAAATAATTTGACGTCTATACTTTCTTAATAAATTTGTTTAAATAGTTGTGTTAAGTGTATGAAGTACAAAACTATATTGCTTAATCGATAATGTTATGAATTAATTTCAATTCAATCATTATAATGACCAATAATGTATTTTAATAGTAATACCTAACTATTAAACATTCACAATTATTAATTGTTGTATTGATGGTATTTTTAGAGTTGTTCTATTGCTGTGCGGTGGCAATATCGACACATCCATTTTGGGAAGGTGTTTGGACAGAGGACTGGCCATCGACGGTAGACTAGTCAAATTCCATGCTACGTTGAGCGACAGACCCGGTGGCATTGCGGAACTGTGCAGAGTATTGGCAACGATTGGTGTTTGCGTGAAGGATATCATACACGAAAGAGCTTGGTTATCGGACGACGTTTTCAGCGTTAGGGTCAGTGTAAACTTGACTATTTTTTTATTATTATAATTTGAAAATCTAATTTTTTTAGTCACTTTATTTATTAAAAAATAAATACATTTTAAGGCACGTATTGATCATAATAAATTTGGGTTTTATATAAAATCAGAAAAAATAATTAGATCAAACAAATGAGTACCTATAAAAGTTTGATTCGTGTTGTTATAGGATCAATCTTTGGCCCATCATCTGCCTTTTTTTTTTTTTATTATTTACGGTAGCCCATCAAAATTCAATCATTTTAAACACCATAATGTCTAACAGTGATTTTATCATTATAATATAATATAATAAAAAATATTAAAACAATTATTTATGTAGACTTAAAAACTAAACGGTAACAAGCAAATAAAATAATTTTTTTGAATTTGGCCACTAAAAAATAATTATTATTGGAGTCTAAAATGTTATATATACATAACTATAAAAACTATAAATATTTATAAAAATTTGATTTATGTTACGTAAAATTCAATAGCTCATATTTTAATTGGATTTTTTTTTATTTTGAGAGTGAATTTTTTGTCGTCACGCATTATTATTCTAAAAAAAAAAAATAACAAAACACTTAATTTAATCTAACCTTTCAATATTATTAAATATATATTAATATAGACACTATTTTCTTTTATTGTAACTATGTTTACTAAACCATCGTGTAACCTATAAATATGATATTTGTTTTTTATCATCTATACCAATAAATAACATACTAATATGTCATGAAATCATATTTCTGTATAGATTTATTCTTCAATTTTTAATATTCATAGATTACGTACAATTTTCTGTTATAGGTCAAAGTCGTATGCGAAACGAGAGACTTGAAACACGCTCGTCTGCTCCAAGAGGTTGTAACGAAGAACTACAGCTCTTCCGTGTTCGGTGATATACCATTACCCAAAGTTCTTTGAACTAAGATTGTATGTTTTTCTTTTTTTCCATTAGTGTTTTATTTTGATTTTTTGCTATAATATTACTTAATACTGGCGTACTGTATCACTATTGACATAATAATTTAGAAATAAATAAACTTTTTTTGTTTTTGTACTGCAGACAAAGATATTTTATTTTGTATTTTGACAATTAAACACACACACACAAACACGCATAACAATAAAATAGTTTTTAGTTAAAATTTTAAATAGTTTCACGCAAGTTCCATTAGATTAGATTAAATATCGTTTAAGTAAATTAACCGATTTGTTCACACACATAACGCTTTAAGAACGAGTATTGAATGAATACAATTCAACATAATAATAATATTATGTAATACAGAACATGATTATAGTATACAGTAATACGTAGTTAACACTTTTTTAAATGTATTAATAGTTATATAATGAGATTTTCTTATTTATTAATTTTCCAAACAAAACAAGTTTAAAATTGTACTGATATGATTTTGTAACGATTACTATTGTATTATCAGGTTTACATATGTTTATAATTTAAATGAGAGGTAGACATAGTCGTAAATAATATTTCCTTTTGACAAACAGATTTAAAAAATAAAATAAAATAAAAATATTTAAAATATATTCATTCCGTTACAATATATTTTTTTTACTGTATTTGTTCATAAAAAGTATTTTGAAATTGTTTATAATACTGATATATTATATATAAACCGAATTGGTACAAATGTTCAAAAATTATAGTGAGTGGACGGGGAAATAGTATGTGCTTTAACGGGACAATATTTTTTCGGTCAAGTGTTTGTATTGCGCTAGTGCAGCTAACGATCATTTTGGTAAAAGATTATTTATAACAAATGCATTTTTACAATTTATTTCACTACGTAGTCTATTTTTGTTTTACGGCCTTATAATATAGCCCTCGTTCGTTTTCTCGACGGTTCGAGATTTAATCTGTTTACATACGCTAATGTTATGTTAATATCTACTATTTTAATTTTTCAAAATTTATCATAATAACAGGACTTAACTGCCTACAATAAAAACAATAATGCCAAACCTATACGATATATTGTATATCTGGTCAAAGCATTATAAATAATCATGCTACTAGTAACTGTATATATATATATATATATATATTTCTGATTGATCGTAATAACGGTAATAATTATTTTTATAATTTTAAATATTTTTATTATTTAGAACAAAAAAATAAATAAGTTTATATTTCACGTTTTTAAAATATCATAATAAATAACATTTAGAGGTAACTGTATATGGTAACCATGTCTGAAAAATATTCATAATATACTCATAAAAGCGAACAACAAATCTTATAATCTTCTAAATTTTAATAGGTACTACGTAAATATTAAAATTCTATATAATTTATAATAAATTTATAGTTTTGAAAATAGTTCCATTATCATTTTGAATAATATACTTAGCTAGCTATTATTTAACTCTTAACTCTATCGGTAATGGAAAAAGTAATGGAAATTTTATTTTATAATTTACTATGAGTATTATTTTACTCTAGGGTAAATATAATGGTTTAAAATTCCTTTTTTTCCAGTTACGCCTACTTTTCCAGTCTTTTATATTCCACAACAGATATGAAGAAAATCGCATATTTACTTCATTTTCTTTATCACGTTACAACAAATTATAATCCTTGTATAACGTTCTAGGTTTAACGCCTACTCCGAAACCAACACAGAGTCAAGCCGATCTTTCAACATAAATTGTCGATATTTCGAAGTCTGGAAATTCGATTTTAAATGTATACTTTCAGATTACCTTTATCATACGAAATCGAATTTCTAAAATATGTTATATAATAAATCTATTTAATACATACTACCGTACTATTCAATTCACTATTGGTTAAATATATAATAATTATAATAATAATCTATAGCTAATGAATAATAATATATTTTATATTCCTATGTTTTCATTTTATTTGCCAAGAATAAAAATATCATGTCGATTTTACAGTGCTTCATACATTTTTGAGAGTAATATTGTTTATTGGGATTAAAGCAGATATTTTTGAAAAATGTATTACTTATTTTTTATTAAACATTATTTTAATTTTTTGTTATTAACGTGTTATAAATTACTAATTATTTGATGTATTTGCTATTCTTGGGTGTTTTCGTTTTTAATTTTTTTTTTTTTTTGAACTTTAAGTAATAGTAAATTTAATTAATTTATTAAAAAGAGAAAAATCTAACGATTTACTTTTTAAATGAACCTGATATATTAAAAGCAGCAGAAAATGCATTTAATAGATAATAATAATAGTATTTTTTGTTTTAATAATATTATTATTTATATAAACTATTTTTTTCTGTCTTTATTTGTTATTTATTTATTTTTAGCTTTAAAAAAATCTACTATTATTTTAAAACCATTGGTTTTATATTTGTCTGTTATATTCACGTGTTTTATTTTTATACTACAATGGTCGAAATGGATAAAAATAGTTGGGGGACAGAATATAATTATTTCCTACATTTAGTTTTTTCATTAGATCCTGAACAGTTGTTTTCTCTATTGTTTTGATATTTATTACAGTTATTGATTATTAATTATCAGTAGCTATCTATGTATTAAATTATTTTTAGAAAGATGAGTAAAATTTAAGAAAAATGAGAATTTTAAAACGGAAAATAAGTTCTAAAAGAAGTAGAAATATTACATCACCCCACTTCAACCCCTGAATAAGTCGAATGATCAACATGTATATCAGGTATTTACTTAAAAACTATATGGTGTCCTTTACCTTAAAGGAGATTATTCAACTTCCGATTAATGCAAAATAAAACAAAAACAAATAAATAATAGTTTCACACAAGATACTATTTTTATAGACATCAAAAGAAACCGGTGTAATTTCTATTTTCTACCATAACCATATCATACATATAATACCAACTCATACATACTTCTATGAAAATTTAGATGTCATAATGTTTGACTTTTTTATCACCCACTTATTCGAACAATCACGAAAAAAGAAAAGATAGACATATAGTACCTTTCCAACACTATACTAAGTATCTCTTCTGAAAAAAAAAATCAAGCGTAGATTTTCTAAAACACTATAAAGCGAAACAGCTCGAATAAATATCTTTTCTAACTATAATATTATTTTCATTTTCACAATACAATAATATCAATGAAGTAATAACAGATTATTTTACCTATATGGGAAATAAAAGTTTATGTGACTAAGGTCTAAGCATCTTCAGTTTTAAATCATCATTCCGCGTTTAAAATATTGAATACGTTTTTTTAAATATTTTATCAATAATGTATCACCGAAAAACTAATTTAAGTAATTTTTCCCAGTTTTAGGGAAAGACCTAAGTGAAATGTATAATAATAAATTGTTATAATACACGACCCATTATTATTATTATACTTAAAATTATTTGTGAGCATTTGATCATGTTATGACCATTGTGTTGAGCGTTGTGTATATTTTAGCCATGTAACTATTTTAACTATTCGAGTGAGGATGTTCTACGACGCGCGTTTAAAAATCAAAATAATTTTCATGCCCTAACGGTGGCTGAGGAGGAAATTATTAATTTTACTGATACATAATCTGTACTATAAAAGTATTTACCATTGTTACTAATGAATACTAGTTTATGTCAATTTTACAAGTAATTGACTTATTTGTTGAACAAATTTGTGATAGTGACTACATATTATTCTGCGAATTGAATAACATGATTGACATAACGATATTAGATTGTTAATTTTATAACTGCAAGCATTTTAAAGAAAATCAGTAACTGTAGTATAAATTACATTGTGATAAATCACTGTAATGAAATATAAATAACAAAAAAATCAAAGTTTATTATTTTTAGATAATTCTGTAATAATTTGGTCAAAATTTTTGAAGTTGTACAATAGTTTAAATATGCTTAAAGTCTCATCATAGGTATGCAATTAATACCAAGAATGTTTTGAATTCTAGTGTAGCTGTTTATACAAGTGCGGGAAAAATCGTTAAATCGACAATTGAAATCGGCTTTAAATAATATAAAATAATATTAATTGTAGAGGAATTTGCTAGTTTTTACATTTCATATTAAATGTACAAAAATTTAATACGTTTAACGTTATTATCACATTAAAGTAAAAAAACGTTAATTTTATAATTTTATCCATAAACATATTTTAATATTTAGAGTCTATTGATTTGTTGATTTGTAAATTTTGGTTATTAATTAATTTATAATAATTTATTATTGATAATGTATGTAATATTGTTTTAATAAAATTACTGAAAACTTTTTGGTGTGAGGCATTTTATTGTCAACCCTGTTTTTAAATAGGTTACTATAATTTATAATTAAATTATGTTTCAATATGGACGAATGATGCTCAAGATTAACATAAATATTAAATTTCAAACGAGAACCACCTTTTAAATTGTGAATTTTCAGGGATAATTTTTTGAAATTGCTGAGTAGTAGTTTCTGATCTTTTAATATTTTAATAGTAAAGGTATTAGTGGATACATAATATAAGAGGCCTAAATGATATGGTATACGATATAAGGGAAATTTTATAATTTGGAACAACTGTTAGAGTATAACAATTACAATACTAAATTATTATATTACAATCTATTTTTTTATTTTAACCTTTATAGTTTATAATGTTCGGACCCTATTTCTTTGAATTTAAATGTAGATAAGTTAAAAGATTTTTATGAAATAGGTGATTTTTGTTTGAAAAGATATAAGTTTTTATCGCCATAGAATACTCTTCAAATGGTATAACATCTTAAGTATTTGAAAATATAGTCTTAAAGTGCTTGAAAATTTAAAAATAAAAACCGAATTAATTTAAACATATGCATTATTAAGAGATAAAATTTGGGGATGGGTAATATTCTTGATCAATTCTATAATTTGGCATATAACCATTTTAAAAGACAGGCGAACAAAAGCTTTCAATTTAAAGATGTTAATGAAACGCTGTCAGAACGGATATACTTTGATTAGTCATGTTTTGAATAAGGCATTTATTGATATATTTTACGAAACATTTAAGTCTTTATTATTAAAGCCTATAAATAAATTTTCACAAAATCAATTTGCAAACACGCCAAGTGTTTAAAAAAAAAAAAATTAATTTTTTTAACCGTACAGAGATTATTCATGGGGTGTGTGAATGTCGTTGAGTGGTTGATAAACCTATTTAAAACACTATATATTTTAATGGTTTATCTACAGCTTTATATTTTTATTTCGAAACGTGATATTGTAAGAAACTCATAAAAAATGTTAAATAAATATCGACAACAGACTATGTTACAGTAGCACAATTTGATAAAGAGATATTAATGTTAATTATTACTATTAAAATTTACATTAATGCAAATAAAATGTATAACTTGATATGGATCTTTAAATACAGTTCAAAGAGAGAGAGGTGTAAATTCGAATACTTCTCTTCCCTCGTTTTACAATTGATATTTTGTTTTGTGATTTTTAATAATTATTTTAGTATGAACTAAAAGCAGTATTCTAGTGCGGAATCAGCAATACTAATCTACTTGGGTAGGTGACATCTGCTGCAGTAGTACGACGGTGGATAAGAACTTAAATTGTAGCAGTACATCTTGAATGTGGACTCTATATTGAAAAGAAATGAATTTTTCACTTGTTGATTTGAATGACGGCTGTGCATTTTAGTAAGTCATGTAGTGATTATTTGTGTAGATTAAGAAGTATATTTTATCTAAAATAAATAAAAACATAACTATATTATATTATAAAATATAATTAATGATATATATATTTATTATATACTTATATTATATGTACGTATGTACAGTAACACATAACATATCATGTGAAGCCATTAAAGGATTTAGAAGTATTGTTTGTCATCAAAAAAATTGTCGATAGCATTTTAGAGGGTTATCAAAGTGTTATAATTTTCGAATTCATGTATACAATAAATTTATTTATTTACAATTTTGTAATGTTAAAACATAAACTTTTAAAATTATTGAGATTGGTACCATATTTTATTTCGAAAAAATACTATGGTCAAAACAAATAGAAAATTTAGATTTTCAATGACAATTGAATTACTTTAAGAAATATATTTACTGTGTTATTATTATAGAAATATATCATTTTCTTCTTAGTAAATCGTACCAATGAAATAATTTTGTGATACAGTTAAAAGTTAAATATTGTATTCGATGTCAATATATTTTTATAGCATGTTTATCGCGTAGGAAATTAAATAGCTATTGAAAATGGTAAGATCAATGTATTATGCATGATGTTATAATCTAATGATTGCAGCATTAATAATATTATAACAAGAATATTAAATATATTGATGATACATGAGAAAGATTTTGACTGTATCTTTTCATGTTATACATGAAAATTCGCACAAAACATAAAATTATGTTCTCTTTATCTTTATAACAAAATCAAAACGGATAAATAAAAAAAACAAACTCTGAACTATACATTAAATGTATATAGCTATAGAGCCTACGTTTATCGAAAATCGATATTCAAAAGATTTCTAATCGTATTTTCAAGAACTGACGGATTCACGTCGTCCAGTAAGGAAATAAATAAATAATATCATACAATCTCGGACAGAAACAATTAATTTACCAAAATAAAGACCATGAAAGATATCTGTAGAATAGATTGATTACGATACTTTTGTTTTAATTTATAGCTCGATTAAACTTTAAAAATGTTGAAAAAATCTAATTGTATTTCTTTCAAAAAACAAAACAAATATATCAAAACCTAATAATTGCATAAAGTTTTTACACTTATACCATTTTAATACTAAAATACGTAATAAATTGACATATTCTAATTAAAAACGAAGCAAAAAGCAAAAACATAAAATAATCGAATAAGTATAATTTGTTACCAATATGTTGAGTATAATTTGTTTTGAAAATTTTAAGCATAAAATGAAAAATTTTTTAAAAAAATACTAAGCAAAATTGATCCATACAGATTGTATCCTGAAAACAAATATTTAAGACTTAAGTTATAAAAAAGGTTTCTTTCAAATTCCAAATTTGAAATAAATTGCTATTGAATTATTTTTACATTTTATAAAAATCGTTAACTCTCGGTAAACTGATTTAAGACATTATTTGTGTATTACATATCATATGATATTATTACAAATCAGGACTTAGAACTTTTAAAAACTTTTTTATTTATTTTTCTGTTGATTCAATTAATAACAATAAATACAAATTACATTAATTTATTAGAATACTCATACAATAAATCTAAATCCAAAAGGTTATTTTTCATATTTTAAGTTTTTCATTTATTAGAAAGTGACATATGAATTTTTTAATATTTTCTTTTTAACTTTAATATTACACGAATAATTTTTTTGGTTCAAATTGCATTTATAATGTCTATGAAATAAAATTATTCTTGCGTATTTTTTTAATTTCTTGGTATCAATATTAATTATTTATGAAAAGCTTGGTATTAAATAGCTAAGTCTTAACTATAAAAATTACGCATTTTATACATATTTAACTATTAAATAGCTTTAACATTTTCGTGATTTTGTCAACATAACTGAGCTTATATGTTTATAAAATATTGATGTAACTTTCCAGAAAAATAACCTTTTTTATTATAAATAGAAAAACTAATAATAATATTCGTATCCATTTCTATAGCTTTAATTAAGTTATTGTTTATCTCTTATTTATAATTATTTATTATTAAAAGAATATTTAAAATTCATGTTTCAAAACATAATAAGCAAATTAAATATATTAGGTATGCTATATACACACAATTCAACAGTGGCACGAATGAAAATATAGTGCTTCGAGTGATAGAACCCAATGTTTTTTATTTATCTTATTATTGTATTTATTAATTTTCGTAAACTTTGATTATTAGGTTGAAAAATTTATTAAAAATCGTTTATTAACTTTTAAAGATTTTACGAATTTCTTCAAAATTTAAAATTTAAACTTTTTAAAAGAATTTTGTTACTATTATTTTCGATATTTCTAAATTAATAAATGAATAACTTATAATAAACCCTGTATTCAATTTTCAAATATTTGAATCAGTAAATTTTTTCAAAAAAAAAAAAAAAAAAACAAATGGGAAATTTCCAATGATTATAAATAGCTTAAAAAAGAATCAAAATATTTGAAAATCGTATTATTTGTAGAACTGTATTTTAGTATTAATATGAACACTTAGTGAAAGTTTCAAGTATTTATTGTTATTTTATTATTATTTTTTGAGTTACACCCTAAGAAAAAATCGATTTTTTCGAACACTGGTTTTACATAAAAATTGTTTTCCTCTGTTATTTTTAAAAACATTGAAAATAATTTTATAATGGTCTCTTTTAATTATGAACTACAATCAATTTTTATAAGAAATTGTTAATTGTAGCATATTTTCAATTACTTATAGTAAATAACTAATTAGTAATAATTATTATAACTATTATTTAAAATGATTCAGTCGAAATATTTTTGTTTTAGTGTATATTTAGTATTTTTATGATGAATAATAATGCTCATTTGTAGATGCATAATATGCATGGATATTTTTAGTTTTATAACTATTATTAGTCACTAAGCCTAATATTATATTATCATAAATAATGTACGTTATTAAATAAAGTTATGTTAAATAATAATAAATATACTTATATAGATTAGTAATATTATCTGTTTTATGTGACTTACGCTAAAATGCCGATAACAAGATTAAATATTGTTTGGAAAATATAAATATATATCCCTCTTATTTGTGTTTGAGCATTGTTTGTATAGTTCTGAAAAAGCAAAAAAATATGAACTAGGTTACAATTATTGAATATTGTTGAGTCTATTTCGGTTGAACTCTACATAGATAATAGACCCGAATATCAGTGGAAATCTTCAATAATAAAAGTTATTGAACAAATTCAATTTATTTAAAAATATCATGAAAAATTGAATTCGATAGATTTTACTGAGAGATTTTCGGATTTTGTTAGAACCTAAAATTACAATAATGAACACAAAAAAATAATAATATGATATTACACCGACACTATACTGTGTAAATGTAATAATATTTTTCTACAGAAATGTTTAGATTTGATCTGATGATTTTTGCTTGCTAATACTTTGGATGTAAGTTTTGAATTTGACTTAAACATCAAAACATTATCAAATTCCAAAACAAATTGTCTCAACTAATTTAAAAATACTCTTTTGATTGTTATGATGCGTGTATCGTTTCATTAGGTCCATTATATTACCATTCTTCTTCTTCTGAATTTCAAGTCCATGAAATGATAACCCTTTTTTTCTTTTTTTTTATCCTATTGTTAGTGATTTTAAAACCCACTCTAAAGTAAACTTAATTTATTATTAGTTGTTACTTATTGCAAATTAAAATAATGTTATTCGAATCAGATAGTCAATGGGTGCTAATACAACGTTTGAAACTTTTTCGGAAGCGGTAGGGTTAAAATGAAATAAAATATTGACCTAGCAAATTTCATAAAATTTCTAGCATATGTAATAATAACCAAATATTAAGTTACATAGTTCTACCAAAATTTGTCGATGTCAAATCGACTGCTGTGTTCTAATACAGTAATTTACCTGCTTAATAATATACATCTTATAAACAACTATGCATGATATACTTACCTTATATTTTGTCTTGAATGAAAATGTCGAATGAGACTGTAAACGTATATTATTAGTTCTATGCAACTTAAGTTGGTCGACAGAGTTAGTTGTAACATTTAATAAGTACATTGTATGCATTTTTGAAATGGTTACTTCGCTATCAAGTGTAGACATATTTACGTTTTGAATGGTAAATGTGTATATATCATCTTTTGTATATTGATGCATATCATTGTAATCCAAATACTTGGCTGGATAAAACAGCAAGCTAAAAATAAATTAAAAAGCTTTTTCACTGTACTATTTCAAGTGAGGTGGTGTCCCAGACGGACTTTCGGGGTGTCTAGTTCTCGGGAGCTCACTCTGGTTTATCGCCCGGAGGAGGTAACTCCGTGGCAATATAAAGGAGCGAAGTGTCTATGAGGTAAAATCCGGAAGAACTTGTCAGAACCCATAATACATGGAAAGATGTACTGTTTCGAGTAATAACTTGTATAATTAGATCACTCTTTTCAATTTTCTACGATGAGTCAAATTAATTCCTAACTACAATCGGTTTTATAGACATTATAATAAATTGTATTATTGGTTTTGTTTTGCTGTTGTAGACATATTTTGGCGTTAATAGAAAAGTAAGAGTAACATTTTTTTCTATTCGGAATTTAACACGTGTTTTACGCCGACGCTTTTCAGTTTAATGACGAAAAAAGAAAAATTGAAACCCTGGTAACAATTTACACCGTTCATTTTGAACAAAATCTTAAACAATTTTTGTGAACTCCGATCCATTTGGCATAGATTTTTTTAATGAAATAATTTTTTTTTTTTTAATTTAAGTTATCTCTTAGTGAATTTTTACAATTCATAGTCAAACATAGTATTTACTCATAGGCCATAGCTTTATTATGTTTTCATTCTTTCAGTATTTTACCAATATTATGACGTTTTAAAAAAAATCCATAGGTTGGTTACGCACAAAGTAAAAATAATTTAAATTGATCACCTGTTATTTTGTACATCAATAATCAATGCCACGAAAATATTCTTAATCATATTTTTCCTTATAGTTCTCATAGTTTTAGGGTAGTAATTTTTATCTAATTTAGCCATTATTATACTATTTTCCGATGCATTGATAAAGTATATGTTGTTATTTAATCCATTGTAACCAAAGCCTTTTATCGGTACTATGATATTTTTGACAATATCAATTGGATGTTCTTTTAAAAAAGAAATATATCTGAAAAATTAAGACATTAAAAATGTATTTTTCAGAATTTTAAAATCATAGATGATAAGTTGTAAAACATAAACTCAAGTATTGTGTATCATCATAAATTTATAAAGCTAGTATTTTATTTATTGTATTGTGATACATATATATATAAGCTTTTGTAACATTTAGCACTTAAAATACTAATTTTGAATTGATTATAGTGTTATTAGTATAGAGTGACTTTATTAATATTTTTCAAATATTATTACCTACTGTAAAAAATTAATATATCATCATAATTAATAAATCTTAGTTTTTACTTTTATTTATGTAAATAAAAATAAAATTTTATGTTAACTGAAGTTTTATTATCACACGCCTTATTAGAAAAAAAAACTGACATAAATATGATTTGATAAATACAAAAATATCATTATGTTATAGACAAATCTGACTAGATATAAATAATTAAATCGAATTTCAATAGGTATTAAATTTTTATTTTATGTCGAGTTAACCGTTTTAATATATTTTTCTGATTAATGTTGAATTGTTTCTACAAAACGTAATACTTTACACATAATTGTGTAAATTTTATTTTAAAATAAATTAACAAAACATCAATCAGGACACAGAGATGGTTATGATTTTAATTTGTAGAAGAATATCTATAGCTCTATTCATACTTTATTTACACCTAGTAGCAAATTTGAAAAATTCGATTTTGAACTTGTAGTTAATAATTTTTAGTTATAAAAATTATAAGTTTGATTTTAATTAAAATGTTATACAATCAATTTTTTTTTACTCATTTTCTACGAATATTGAACCTGAAAAAACAATTAACTAATGAGATTTGTCTAGTCTTGATATTGACATAGCTTAATATTATGTATACTTAGATAACTACATACCGGATGTTTTTTAACACCGAATCGTAATAAAACACACTATAGGATTTCGAGTTGAAAAAGAACGACTCAACATTCAAAAGCAATTTTTCGTGTTTCGGGTTGAGTTTTCTCAGTTGATTCAGCATCTTTGGTTTGTATCTGGATATGCTCAGCATATGTTTGACTTTAATATACATAATCCTGTCCAATGATACAGGCAAGAGGAAACAGTGATATCCTGATGGGATTTCCTGACATACGTGAGAGGTGCTCCAGTGATTTTGTTGCAATATCTGCGAATAAAATATTGAGGTTGATTTCAAATAGTTGTACGTTTGTTAGACATTAAAACATAACACCAATAAATTAAAATGATACGATGTAAAATAGCATGGTGAAAGTGTAAAATATTAAGCGGACTTTTAGTCAGTCATGATATCTAACGGGTGAATTTACAGTGAAATTTAATCTTGTTGAAGAAACTCAATCTAACCTAACTTAACTCGAAGAAAATATAAAGAGTAAGGATCGCATCATAGTAATAGATGAAAATAAAAAAATAAAACAACAACAAACCTAACCTAACATTATTATATATTTTTTTTTTTTTTCAAATAGATTGTTTAATTGTTTATAAATAATTGATACGTTTATGAATCTTAAAATAATATTTAAAACTAAAGAAAGAGTCCAGTAAAAAAATGTTTTTTTTAGCTACTTATAATAAATTTTGAAAATTACTAGTATCATATTAGTTTTTTACAACACGTTATTAACTATAATTATAATTTGAGTTTGAGTAAAAAGAAAACTAACAAATGACAATATTTTATTAATATTTACAAATTTAATCCTTTTACATTTTCAAGATCAAAGGAACTATAATGAAAATATTGATATGAATAGTTTCTAATAACTTTTAATACAGTAGATACCGAAATTGCTAAATGAACACGATATGCTTATTCATTATTGAATATGTTTTACTTACCTGATCACTGTTTTCATTATAATATATCGACAGTAAATAATTAGGTGAAAAAGATCGATTGTAATATGGCACCAGGGGTTTTTCCAAAAAAAAATTGTGTTCGAAGGCTTTGGTGAAAGAGATGCATCTAGGAAAATTCGAGTCATTGAATTTACTTTTCTTTATGATTTTGTGAAAATTTCCGTTGTAGTCGGATCTGTGAATGACTTTTTCCGCTGTCCAGTATATCATTTGGTGGGTATGGTCTATTTCCAACATGTCTGGGTAATGCAAATCGTATTTTCCTTTTGTAATTTTTTCCCTGTGTGGTATGTTTAACATTTCAATACACGAAAATAATAATTAATAAATAAGTTACGGACGTCAGAGTATAAAATATATAAAAATAAAGAAAATATGACATCATAGTTTGAATTAAGACGTGGTGGTCTGAACATCGCAATAAGATATTTTTACTATTTGTATGATCATATAAAGAGTAAAAATAAGATTTAAAATACTACGAATAGAAAATACCGTACCAGCCACTATTTTTATAATTTAAGCTTGACTATAAGATGTGAGAATGTCAAGAAATATAAGTTCTTATATATAGTTAAATTCCTTCAAATTACTGTATGATATAAATATTGTATAAGCCAGGAATTACTTATGTGTTAACGCTTTAAAATAACTCTGTGTTTTATAATAATAAGGTACACATTACATTCCGTATAAGTTAACTACGGAATTTTTATGTTTTATTTATATTTTGTTCAAACTTCATACATTATTAAAGCTACTATGCTTTACAATACGTAATATTATTTAAATTTGAAAAAATATAAATAAAAAAAAAAACATTTCGATGTATGTGGGTATAGCCAAAAGGTATTTAACCGAATTTAAAAACACATTATAATTTGTAAGTTTGTAACCTTCAACATTTTATTTCATACATTATAGATATTTAAAAAGAAAACTCTCGTATAAAACCTTCAATCCATCCACAAATAATTTTATCATAGCCTTGATGTTGTACATACCTATTGCTCCCATCAAAATTGATGCGTTCGATACTACCTACGGACTCAACGTTACACCAAAACAGTAATTCACGAGTTAAATCGATGACCATTGATCCAGGCTTAGTCAAAAAGTCTACCAAAATGTTTACTTCGTTTTTTTGAGAATCGTAAGATTCTATTATGCCTTTTTTACTATCACTCCAAAAAACCTGTAAACAACAGAAAATTGAATAGTAAATAAATGTGTTTTAGTATTAAAAAAATTGTATTATTAGTAATAATTTATTACTTTATGTTTTAAATTATCAACCAATACACACGCTGGTGAATAATGGAATTGTAAAATTGACATAATTGCAAATTCGAATGCAACTTTTTTTATGACTTGAGTTTTTCTTTTACCTGCAATGTTATTCATGTAAACAGATACGATACATTAATATTTAATAACTAAAATTTATAAATTATTGATTATAATGATTGATAATGCGAATGGAGGATACCAATAAAAATATTTTAAGAAGGTAAAAACTTAATTTTCCATTTTTAAATCTAAAATGGAGTTGGCTGTAGATTATACGAGTATTCGAATAATCAATAATACACTATGATATTGTTAATAAATCATAATAATTATTACACATCTATAATAGTCCATAGGCCATAACCGTATAATGGATGCCGTATGGAATCTATAATTTTGTTGTACAAAATACAATGAAATTTAATTAGTTTCACCCCCGTTTTTTTTTTTTTATAAAATGACCTTATTACAATAATGCACAATTATACTTATTAGTTTTATAGTATTGGGAAAAAATAATTTAAATTACAGCTGGCATATGTTTACTTTTACTTTTGTGATTGAAAATATTTGGCTGAACACTATTTTTATTAACAATACAAAATATACGAGTATAAACCACGTGAATTATATCTCGATTTAATTTATAGATATATTTTAATACCTTTATGAATATCTATTACGATTGGTTTTTTAATTGTCTGTTTTAGATATTAATACTAACATTGTATTAAATTATTTTCTTATTATGATTTTGTAACGGACTATTATTTTTATATCTAGTTAAAATCCTAAATCTATTTTCAGAATATCATTTTTTGATTCATTAGGAGCTAATTATTAAAAATACATATAATGTTAAATAATACTATACCGAGATAGGTGCTGAAATCTAAATATGGTGGAGATTTTTCATCAATATATTCATTGAATTCGACCTGAAAAATTAATTTTAAATACATTCAATTATAATTAACAATAGAGATAATACAAGATACTAATCTGTTGTCAAATATTTTAAATATTTTTAAATCTTCATTAGAAACATTTATAAATGATATCACGTATTCATTATCAACTTTTAAACCTAGTTTAAACAATTTTAATAACATTCTTAACAATTAAAATTGAAAAAGTTTGAAAATTTGAAATAATTTGAAATGTTTTAAGATTTGTTTAAGTATTTAGGAAAGTCTCATTGTGTATAGAAAAAACAACAAGATTTGCTTCCTGTTTTTACGGTTCATATTTTTTAGTAGTAACAATGTATCAAAATATAATGTGTAAGAATAAATCATCATTTTATGTTAAGAATATGTATATAATGTCGTCAACATTTTTACTTGAATCGTCTATAATCTATACAAATCTATGCATGTAACCTTAAAATTGCCGTAATATTTGGTTTTCAAAAGCTCGAATTACAATAATCTATTCAAGCTTTTCTGTAAAGCTATAAATATCCTAAAATTTACCAAAATATCAATTTTTAAAAGTTTGAATATCAGAAATTGAACATAATATAATAATTACATAGGTATTGACTGATAATATTTTAATCATTAACCTTAAAGATAAATACTGTAGGTTTAATTGATCGAATGTAAATCTTTTATTTGCTTTAAAAGTCAAGAGAAATGATTTAGTTATTGTCGTACATCATTTTTAGTGTATACACGCCTATTAAAACATGTTTGTATAGTCAATTTTTAATAGATTTTTAATAGATGTCTACTTTAAGGATACAATAAGAATAAAGATATTATTATAATAATTTGCTTTTTTTTTTAAATTGATACTACTACATAATACTAAAATTTTAATGCGTAAATGATAAATACATTTTTTTTTATGTTTTTAATAATTGCACAAACAAAAAATTAAAAACGGTGTCTTTTAAACAAATTGTGATATGCAAATAAATGACGTACACTCAATTACATAAGACGTGAACAAATTGCACTTAATCAATTTATTTTCGAATGCGCTGTTAAAATTGTATAGTATGTATAGTATTATCAACTTGTAATGATAAAATATTATCAAGGTAAGATTTTTTTTTTTTTTTTAATTGGGTATGATTACTGTCTTTCCATTGTGTTTAAGAAAAAACAAGTGAGTGGTAAAAAAGAAAAAATTGATAAACATCTATAGGTAATCTGTAAATTGCATCCCATTTTTAATTTTTTGTGTAAATTTTAGCCCGAGCACATTTTATACATACTTTAATTGCGGCCAGGATATATTTTGTATATATGTAAACTGTGGCTGAGGTATAATTTGTATGAAATCAATTTATTTATTGAAAACAATATTTTCTTTCTATTTTTTAGACTCAGGACTGGCAATATAATTGTTATAGTATTGGCATGATTAAACATGTTCGTTTTGCTGTTTTTGTTTATAATTAAAAAATGTATTATTAACTATTACTAATAAAGTATTAGGTGAAAATGTGTATCATTGAAAAATATATTATTAAAAAAAATTCTAATTAAGAAACTGGTAAAAATTTGTTAGATAATTTCCACACATAATCTAACTAAGTAATTTTATTTTTTTGCTTGCAATTCATACATTTTTTCATATATAAATGTTTCTTTTTCAGTCATTTTTTTGCTTTTTGTTCCCTCATTTCTCAATCAAGCTAATATATACATCGTAGATTATTAGGCATTACTAATCTATAAATTGTACAGCTGACCGGAAATCGTAATATCTCGGACCGCAATTTACGTAGTATATGACTATGACCTTTTTTGGAGAACGCAATTTACAAACTCCGAATATGTTATAACAATAATAATAATTAAAACGTTAAAAAAATATACAATGATAAGATATGTATTGCCAGTTTATAATTTATCATTGTAAAAAATAATTAATACTTAACTATTATTATGTTGAGTATAATAAAAATGTATATCGATTAAAAAATGAATCGACTCTATATTCTTATTTGATTAGTAATAGCGATTAAACAATATTCTATATCATTATTTTTATACCTAATATAAAGTAAAAATTATTTTCAATACAAGTTTATAAATTATATAATTGTGATAGTTTTTTTTTTTTTTTTTTTATTAGAAATTGTCTATTAAATAATTGGCGATTGTAAACTGCGTCCCGTTAAAATTTTAAAAATCAATAGCTATAATTTTGTAAAATTATCTTTAATGTATACTTCATTCATTACAGCCATATAATATGAATAATTAAAAATTTTAAAAAAAATGAATAATTTAAAAAAGTAAAATAATTACAAATATTACAAATTATAACATGTTGTTGATACATATTTATCAATTTGTTGGAGTTTGGTCACTATTATATTTATTAATCAAATTTTGTAACTTTTCGCGTTTTTTTATCTTTTATTTTAGGATGCAATAGTTACTTAATATTGTGTTGGTATTTTTAGACGAAAATAAAATGTTTGTGATATAATTGAAAAAGTACATAATCATAAAGACTTTAATAAGTCAAAAGTTTTATATATTTCACAAACAGAGTACAGCTTAAGTGGACGGGTGCAGTTTACATTACACCTTTTTAACATAGATAAAAATTCAGGTGCAGTTTTTATTATACCTTTTTAACGTTGATAAAATTTCGGGCACAGTTTAAATATGCCCTATATAATTGTTTAATAAGTGTTCAAGCTTATGAGCTTATGAGTTTAAAATTCTGTAGTTAAATCCTCAAATTGATTTTTTGTACAACATAAATTTTAATACGTTGTTTCGAGTACATTCCACGTAGCAAGTAGGAAAATTTTTAAAATGTGTTTAGCTTTAGACAGAAGTGCAAAATATGCATGTACCACTATAATCGTATTATCACACTGGTATATAATGGTAACTTTAATATCGCTGATATCACGTTCGTACTTTTTCCAATTATTTTTTGTACATGAGATAATTATACCTCATAGATAATTTTATGCCGATATGCCTACAGACCATATGATTTAAATTACATATAAATTTACTTTAAATTTTTACCTGCTACTTTTAGTTACTTTTTGTTTCCTATTTAATGTTTAAAAATTATAAATAACAAATCACATAAAGATACTGATGGTAAAATGATCTCAGGAAGGTGGTGTACCTAAAATGCCTATACAGAACGCCGTTACATAAAATATATTGGAATTATTCTTAAAAATAAAAAACATTTAATTTCAGTACACTAAAAATGTATGTGATAAAAGTTTTGTAAAAATCTAAAAACTTGTATAATCAAATTTAGATTTATTTTATTGTTGGATCATATTATGTGTATGAGTATTATTTAGAAACATTTTAAGACTTTCTAATATAATTAAAGAGGTTAAGTTAGATTAGATAAGGTCAAGTCATTGCTTTCAGAAATCTATACTATATTCTTAAATCTGAAATTATAATGCCATAGTGAGTTGTTTTTATTTATCTAATAATGATATGTAGGTACGATTTATATGTAAATATATATTTTATAACTATAATATAATTACATTTATCAAAACCGATAAAATATATAGTAACTTTTTTATATTTTGATTTAGTATATTTTCCAATTTTTTTTCTTTATCTCTAATGACACATAGTTGGTTTCTTTTATGATCATTATTTTAGGCAACTTAATACCAATGTTGTTAAAATACTAATTTAATATTTTATACAAACATGTTTTTGTAATTTTTTTAATATATTATGGAATGGCGACAAAGTTGAAAATTATATGAATACAAATATTTACACCTATAAAACAAATAAATGGATCGATTTTTGTATAGGTTTTTTATTTTAAACATGGTTGACGTTTGTTATTATTTAAAATATTCAATATTCATATTAAAATGGAAAATAAATATTTTCTAAATGGTATTATTAACACTGTTCGCGCAAGTTATTGGACCTTAAGAAATTATAAATATACGAAGATATAAAAGGCCCGTAAAGATTATGTCCATTGATTTTGCCCTACTTCACCTAATATAGGGTCAACGGCCACGATACGGAGCAATATTTTCGGTGATATCAGAGTCACTTGATAGACGGAAAATAAGTTACCCGTGCGACACTTAGTTATCAACAGCTCGTCATCAAGTTGCCACCCCAGACTCGGACACTCGGTTTGGTCTCTTGTATAACGCTTAAGTGTGCGATCGCGTAAAACCCGACTTTTTCAGTTCGGGTTTCCTTTGTTGTGCGTTCGTACCTTTAACTTAAAGCGTTATACGCCGTCTCGAGTTCCGAGCTGTATACATTTATATATATATATATATTGTATGTCTCGTGGTCTTCATATCCCTCTAAATTACAATTCCTATAGTGCTTCGCGTTTGTCGTCTTGCGTACCGAGTGTTATGCATATATATAAATATCGTACGTCGCAACTACTGCACTATGTGAAACCTAAATAAATATATATTGTCTCGCAGTCGTAATTTTACGTGGACGCTAATTATATTGTCACGTTATCGTCCCTATTATTGACGTATTAATATAATATTGTACATTGTGATTCTCTGCCGTGTAACGGTCAGTCGGCGTGTTTTGAGTGCCGTCAATTATCAATAATAATCTCACTGTTAATTATTATCTGTCCGCTGTTGTTGTGCCGACGCGCACCTGAACAACAGCTGATCAGTAGCTTGACTGTCGCCGTCAATTCATCACTGACCATCAACAATATATTTTGGATCTGGAGTCGCGTAAATATTGTTATCTTTAATTAAATATTATATTATACGAATTGTACCACGATTTTGTTCTTGTATCGTGTTTGTTGGATTATTATTATTATTATTATTATTATTATTATCATTATTATCACGGCGATAGTGATTATGGTATCACTTATCATATTTGTTTTGTAAACACGTCGTCGTTGATAGCATTTCATTTCACGTGTTTATTGTGTTATAATATAATCTTTGCGTACGCTTTAC